CAAGCCTCGTACACATAGGACTGGCAAGTGTTTGAAGTTGGTGTTTCACTTACATATTGTTGCATAACCAACCGTCCACAAACTCAGTGACAGTGCCCTTAAGATTCTTGGAATCTCTCTTACGTAACAAAGAGGGCCCAGGGGGCACCCCCTTCAATCTTTCTGACATCTCAAAATGAGGAAATGGTTTTATAGCAACATCCCGGACTTTGAGGATTTACCTCAAAATTTACCCTGAGATCAAATTTTGTTGGCAACACTTCAGACTTGATCTTTGTATTTTCTTACTTTGAGAACCTTTTGCTTGCCATGAAGACCACCCTGGGCCCTCAATTTTCTCCAAGTTCTGCTACAAAACTGAATTGTTCTTTCAGTAGTTTGTCTTTATGTCTGGTTTGTATTTTACCACAGGCAGCCAGTAAAAACCATTTGTCACTTTTAATGTTCTGCCTGGATAGTTCCCCAGCCAGATTTACCAGATGCAGCAGGTCCTGGAGTTAATTCTGGGAAGGATTAGCCTTAAATGCTTTGCATCTTCCACTTGACAAAGGAGAGCAGAATCAGATACCTGGATTAAGTCAGAAGGAAGAAGTACATCCCGAACTAAGAATTTCATTCTGACTTCCTGGAGGAAACGCTAATATTCTACCCCACTGCTCATGAATGAAGGATTCTGAGTTTGTGAATACATGCCCGCAGATAGAATTATCTTGCGAAACAGTGAAGTATGCAAAATCTTTGAGGAGTTCAATATTTATTAAACAAATTCACAGAAGAGAGTTACAAAAAACGTTATGTGAGGTTAGGTAAATAAGAAAAACTTTTTAACCCACTTTTTACAGTGCTCTGAGTGAACACCTTGGGGCTGGAACCAGACAAAAAGAAGCTGAGGCACAATCCTTGCTTTCAAATTGGATATTTTATAGAATATGATCTAAATAAATTTGTGATGACATATAGTTATATTCCAAGTGAGCACTCACCAAATAATTGTCTTCCTGATTTTTTTGTTACCATAGATTTGCCTGTATAATCTTTAACATGGGATCACTAATATTGAGAATATCCTATTTATGTTATTAATCACTTGTGTCAGAAAGTGATTGTTGATGTGAATTTAACCCATATCATCTGTAAAAGGTCAATTTATAAAAAAGGTAATATTGCCCAGCCGGCATGGCTCAGCTGTTGAGCATCGACCTAGGATCCAGGAGATAGTGGTTCGATTCCTGGTCAGGGCACAGGCCCGGGTTGCGGGCTCGACCCCCAGCAAGGGGGGTGCAGGAGGCAGCCAATCAATGACTCTCATCGATATCTCTATCTCTCCCTCTCCCATCCTCTAACCGAAATCAATAAAAATATATTTATAAAATAATATAACTTTAGCCCTCGCCAGTTTGGCTCAGTGGTTAGATAGTTGGCCCATGGACTGAAGGGTCCCGGGTTCGACTCTGGATGCAGGCTTGATCCCCGGCCCCTGTCAGGGTGTGCGTGGGAGGCAACCAATCGCTGTCTCTCTCAAATCTGTTTCCTCTCTCTCTCCCTTCCACTTTCTATGAAAAGCAATGGAAAAAATATCCTCAAGTGAGGATTAAAAAAAAAGTAAAAATAAAACTTTGACCCATAACCTACAGCAACCTGCTCAAGAAACCAATCCCTTCTCTCTACTAAACTCAGGGAGCCAACCTTGCAGGAAGCCAGATGGTATCTCCAGTGACAACCTACGAAGCTAAATAATAATTTCTGTAACAATCAGCCCCAAAGGTAAGGACTTACTAATAACTGACAACTTCCCTAATTTTTGTCCCCGCTTCCAGCTTAGGACCAACTCGAGTCAAATAAGCATCTCTAACCAATCACAGAGTATACTCTGATTCTGTTGGTCACCTACAGCTTCGCCAGGCCAACAGCCTCCAGTCAAGGCATACCTGAAGCCTTCCGTTTTATTTTTATTTTTTTTTCACAATAGGGCTTTCCCTTTCCTGTCTGCCTTTTAGTCTGCCAAAGCACAAATGATGGTGGCTGAGTCCCTTGCTACGTAGCATGTATTGAATAGTCTTTTTCTCATTTGGTTGGTCTTTATTTCCACAGCACTGTGGGTTAAATAGGCTTTGTAGGCCAATTGGTTTCAAAATCATCTATTATTCATTCGTTCACTGAAGAAACATTTACTTTAATATGGGCCACATTCCTTGCTGGGCATGGGCAAATGAAAAAGGTACAGTTCCTACCTCAGGGGACAGTAGTAGCTTCACAGCTGAGGAGATGAACATGAATGGCACAGCAGTCAAATCAAAGGGTGTTACTGTGCTGGGGCCGTGTCTCCCAAAATGTGGTATACTACCTGCTGGCTACGTGAGAAAACTCCCGGGAAGTTGTAAATGGCTGAACATTTTTACTTGAATAGCAGTAAACTTGAATGCAGGTTAGAAAACGAAGCATTTCGAGCCCACCAAACCCACAGTTTCACAGATGCTTTGGGATGAGTCTGTAACAGTCAAAATCTAGTCAGGAAGTAAAAGCCATCCTATTTCAACAGAGAAAATCCAATATAAAGAATTGTTAATTGGGTATTAAAGATCTAAAAAAGGAAAAAGAGGACATTTAAGGTATCAAGAAGGAAGCTGCCACTCTTAGGGAAGAGCCTTGAAATTGTTCAATTTTAGAAGGCTGGAGAGGCCCCAGGGAGCGGAAACCCAAGACCCCTGGCAGATGAATGGGTGTCTGAGCTGAATGGGGTTGTCCTATGGGCCAGAGTACTGGGCAGAATCTGAGGAAGGAGCACTGAGTAGTTGGTATCAATGCCGTTACTGAAACACCATCCTCTGCTGCAGTGAAGAGGGGTTTTGGGGAAAGTAAAGGGGAAGCGGACAGAAAGGACCAAGCTTCTCCTTCCTCCTCTGGACTTGCCATCTCCCTCTGGGCCTGCATCGGCCAATTCCAGCAAGGAGCCAGCTGGCAAAGTCACAGCCCAGCACCAAACGCTGTACGGAAGGGTGAGCTTGATTCTGAGAAACAGGTTGGCATCTACGACAGTCCATCTCCTCAGGCCATTCATGATCCACATGCATGCACTTCTAAACATGATTCGTCTGCCCACAAGAAAAACAACTCTTTATTAGCAAAGTTAACTCTCTAAATCCCATAAACAATGTGAGAAGTGAGAAGAAATTAGCACCTCCCCCCACAAGGAAGAAAATATGTGTAACTGCTCGGTAACTTGTAACTAATTGGTCACAAAGCTATAGTTAGTAAGCTTCATTCTCTGTCTTTATATTCCAGGTTTTCTCATCCCTCGGCCAGGATCTGATGCTCAGGGTTTATACCTCATAGGTGACCCAAAACTTCATGGCCTAAAGCAGGGGTGGGGAACCATTTTCGGCCATACAAAATTATCAACTTAAAAATTAGCCTGCTATCTTTGGTCAAACATTAACTCACTCCTTATGTGACGGCTGGAACTGCTTCTCTTTGGCGAGGCGTTGGCAGGGCCAGACCAAATAATTTCTTCTCGGGCCCTTTACAGCCCGTGGGCCAGATATTCCCCACCCCTGGCCTGGTGGGTCAAATCATTCCTGCCTTTTTGAGGTGGTTGTAGTTTTCCATTCAAGTTTGTCACTGGACATGGAAGTGCTATAAGATGCCGCTGGGTTCCACGTACCACTGTCCATCACCCACTGTGCAGGAATAGCACAAATGCCCGTTTGCCCTCCTGCACCAGTCAGGAAAGTAAACTCCTTTGCCTAGTGGTTTAGTGGCAAAATGACCAGATTGTTTCAATTTGTCTGAACACTGTTGTGTTCCCCAGTGGGAACACACCTCCCTTAACTCAGACTTCCAGAGCTCAAAATTGAGAGGAAGAGAAACATTTGTGAGTGTTACTGGGTCTAACAGCGAGAGGAACCTCTCTCTACCTCTGCTTGATTCCAGACCATATTTTCTGACTACAATGAGATCAACAGTCCCATTAAGTGGTCACTAATTCAGAGCATAAATTACATTTTGTAAGATGGAGTTTTGTACCCCACCTAGGGCCATAACAGAGTCTTTAGACTATTTCACCATTTTATTATACCAGCTGCTCCTTTACGTGGGGTATGGGCTAAGGTCAGTGAGTTCCAGAGGCACAAGCCCATGGCTGCACTTCTTTGACTGTGAAATGGGTTCATCTATCAAAAGTAACACTGTGCAGAATGAAGGTGAATGAGACATTCCATAAATTAATGGATTATGGTGCTGGGAAAGCATTGAGAATTTCTGGCTTCTGCCCTGGGATATAGAGAGCTGGAAGGCACACTGTGCTCACCTTCACAATGAAAAAAAGCCAGATTAACTGCAAATTCATGATTTTTTTTTCATAACTCAGTGGAGAGCTGAGGTCACAAAGCAATAAAAATTTAAGGAGATTCAGCCCGGCCAGAGTGGCTCAGTGTTTGAGCGTCCACCCATGAACCAAGAGGTCACTGGTTTGATTCCTGGTCATGCCTGGGTTGAGGGCTCGATACACAGTAGGGGGCATGGAGGAGGCAGCCGATCCATGTTTCTCTCTCATTGATGTTTCTATCTCTATCATTCTCCCTTCCTCTCTCTCTAAAATCAATAAAAATATATATATAAAAAAAAACTTAAGGAGATTCAGAGAGTGAGAGAGAAAATACATACATACACTTCATTTAGTTGCGAGGAACAGAATGAAATGAAATGAAGTCGTAGGTACATATCTCCAGACAGACAGAGACACACATATACATACACTAAATCCCATGGGCCTCTGTACTTACTATTTAGAGTAAGGCTCAGACTAGGAGGTGACCTGGTGGGTGGTAAATTCTACTGAGCTATACTATAGGAAATTGATGGTTGGTTTTGACCCATAGAAATCAACTTCTGATTCAATCTAATATACAACCATATTCTAAATTAGTGGCTGGTTTTTTAAAATTCCAATACTGAATTAGATTAAAATCATTATTTGAAAGTATAAGAGAACAGAAAAAGTTTATGAAAACATGTTTATTATAGAACATTATTTTTTAATTAATTAAAAGCTTTAAACAAAAAAACCCATAATTCCACACACTGACTTGGTAGCATGCAAACACTGTAGGTCGGAGAGGCATGTTTGTTATTGATGAATTTACATATAATAAATTCTCATGACATTTGATTCCAAAATGTACAAAATGACTTGACATTATTAATAACTTAAAGTAAAAATGTAAACATAAGGACAACTTAAACACTAGTATTACTTCATGAGTCAATCTAAGGTCAGTGACTAGAGAGATACATTAAAATAAAATCTAGGGTCAAAAAACTTTTAGGAAGCAAACATTACCTTTGCACATTTGGAGATCCAGGGCTAAAACCCCACTCCTGATGAGTACCATCACACAAAGGATGCACAACATCCATCACACTTCTGTTTCGAAAACAGCACGTTCCCAAAATTATGCATTTCTTTACAAATAAAATTACCATATTAACTACAGAGAAACCACTGGAATGAGTTCCAAAATGTGTTAACTCTCACAAGGCACCCCTGAGCAATATCGTAAGGCTTCCCCTTTAATCTTGGGGCTTTAAGAATGTCTTCTTTACTTTAACTGGCTTGATGTCTCCATTTTCATCTTCTTCATAATTGGCACGGTCTCTTTTTTTGGCAAACTTTTTTCCAATTGTCCCCACCAAGGTCTCATATCTGTTAAGATGATAAATAGCACAAGTTTAATTTCAAATAAAAAAGGTAGAAATCAAGTCTTGTCAACAATGCAACAAAGAATAAGAAAAATCAAAACTATAATTAAAATAAACCATCTGATTCAAAAACTTATGAACTTCTTTAAGAATGACTAAACTGCCCCGGGTTTTGTTTTTGTATTACCCTGAATTGAAATGTATATTCAAAATATGCATTGGAAGCAGCACTGGAAATGAGACAGCAACTGCCAGCCTGCAATAACATGAACCCATCCCAGGCTGTGCTGGAGAAAGCAGAAACTACTTCCTGCTGTGGTAGACCAGGGGGTAGGAGGAGCGCATATGTGAGAGCCAATGAGTGCTGGGCCCAGATTACAAAACTGTCCCAGGGTTAATGGTTACCTTCTAGCCATTTCTTCATCTGACACATCAAGCTCCACTGTTTCATCTTCAACTTCTTCTGTTTTATTCTTAGCATTCATCTGAAGCATTAATTTCTGAAAAATATACCGACACTGGCTATCAGAGCTGAAAAAGGCTTGTGAAAAGAACTGGTATCAAACGTATTTGAAGGTAGAGAAACAGAAGACTAGCCAAAAAATTTATAAGGACTTTTCTGTAATACTTTATTCCACAATGTGCTAACACAAGGCAGTTCTGAATTTAAAACATAGTAAGACAAAGCCCCACTAGGTTAGACTTGTCATTAATTAAATTGTACTTTAGATCATAAACCTTATTGTTAGTTACTTATACCTAAAGCAGACACACTGCTATACCAACGTGTGGTGGTTAAAAATCAGGAGGGATATCTCCTGAGGAGTGAAGGGTCTCAGCCCCATACCCGGCCCCCCGTCCCAGGGTTCCAGTGCTGGGAAGAACAGTCCTCCTAACTTCTGGCTGTGAAAACCACTGGAGATTGTGGCTGACTAAGACGGAGGGCTGCTGCCGGAGTCCCAGGTGTTCCTCTTAAAGCACCTGCACACAGACTTACTCGGACTCACTTGCCCTGAGCTCCAGCTCTGGGGCAGCAGCTCCAAAGGCTCCAGGGACACACAGGGAGGAAATGAATGACTGGCATCATCGTGATGGCTGAAGGGGCAGCTTTCTCCCAGACAGAAGTGCTAGCATAGGCCATTGTTCCTTTGCTGAGCCCTCCCCTCAGAGCTGGCCGGGGGATGCTATCTGAGTCTCCATCAACCAGGCTTACACTATTCTCTCTGCCCTGGTGATTCTGAGACTCTACCCCACCCAACTTGTGGCTCCACACAAGCCGTTTCCAGTGGCTTTTCCATACAAATGGCCTGTCTTGGCTTATGCTGTGGATTTTTAGAAAATCTCTCAAATAAGTAGCATCCAGCCTCAGCCCTGTACTTCTTGCTAAATGACCTGTGGCCTGGCACTAGCAGCAGCCGACCACGGTTCACAGCTTGGCCTCTCCTGTGCTCCTCCAAGCCCAGCTCTGTAGCAGACGTCTGTAGCTCATGCTGTGGCCCCAGGCAGGGCACAGGAAGCTGCTGACCTTGTCCTGTACTTCCTGGGAGGCCCCAGAGCCAGCAAACCTGGTGGACAGCTTTCAGATCACACCAGATTACAACTCAACCACCTCCATGAGGAACACACTCCAGAGGCGCTCTCAGTGGGCATCAGGGACATGCTGAAGTGCAACCTGCTTTGTGCAGTCGATCCCTGCACATCACATCCTCCACAGTGGTCTCGGCCAGTCCTCGAAGTTGATCAACCAAGGGGTAAATACCTCCAAATGACGTGCCAACAGCAATCAAGGCTCTACTACAACAGGACTGCACAGAACCCCCACAGGGAGCATAGTGCCCAGCTCGGGTGACTGGGGAGGCTGCCCCATTGGGCCCTACAGGACACCTGTCATATAAGGCCACTCTACCAATACTAGGAGATGTAGCAGATCTATTTAATATATAGAAACAAACACAGGGAGGAAGCCAAAATGAAGAGACAAAGAAATGTCCCAAATAGAACAAAACCCCAAAAATGGAGTCGAGCAATCTACCAGGTGTGGAATTCAAAACACTGGTTGTAAGGATGATCAATGAACTTTGGAGAAGTGATGAACTTAGTGACAACTTCAACAAAGGGATAGGAAACATAAAAATGGAAAAAGAAAACATAAAAAGAACCAGTCAAAAATGGAGAATGCTCTAACTGAAATGAAGAATACATTACAGGGAAGCAACAGTAGAGTAGATGAAGCAGAGGATCAAGTCAGCAACTTGGACGATAAGGAAGCAGAAAACACCCAACCAGAACAGCAAAAAGAAGGGAACATAAAACAGTGAGGACAGGATAAGGAGCCTCTGGGACACCTCAAGCGTGCCAACACTAGCACCATGGGGGTGCCAGGAAAAGCGAGCAAGGAACTGAAAACCCATTTGAAAAAAATCACAGAAAACTTCCCCTACCTGGCGAAGGAAACAGGCACATAAGTCTAGGAAGTGCCAAAAAAGATGAACCTAAACAGGCCCACACCAAGACACATTATAATTAAAATGCCAAAGGTTAAAGACAAAAGAGAATCTTAAAAGCAGCAAGGGAAAAGCAGTCAGATACCTACAAGGGAGCACCCATACGACTGTCGGCTGATTTCTCAACAGAAACTTTGCAGGCCAGAAGGGACCTGCATGAAATATTCAAAGTGATGAAAAGCAAGGTCCTCCAACCAAAATTACTTTACCCAGAAAAGCTATCATTTAGAATCAAAGGACAGATAAAAGAGCTTCCCAGACAAGAAAAAGCTAAAGGAGTTTATCACCACAAAACCAGTATCACAAGAAAAAGAAGAAGGAAAAAGATAAAAAACATAAATAATAAAATGGCAATAAATACATATCTATCAATAATTCTGTTAAATGCAAGTGGATTAAATGCTCCAAATGGCTGAATGGATAAGAAAACAAGACCCTTACATATGCTGTCTATAAAAGACTCCCTTCAGATCAAAAGACACACAAACTGAAAGTAAAGGGATGGAAAAAGATAGTTCATGAAAATGGAAACAAACAAAAAAGCTGGGGCAGCATTACTTATACCAGAGAAAACAGACTAAAACAAAGGCTACAACAAGAGACAAAGAAGGACCCAGTAATTCCACTTCTGGGTATTTATCCTACGAAACCGAAAACACTAATGTGAAAAGATACATATCTGTGCATTCATTGCAGCATTATTTACAAGAGCCAAGATGTGGTAGCAACCTAAGTGTCCATCAGTAAATGATGGCTAAAGAAGTAGTGCATATATACAAAGAAATAGGACCGAGCCATTAAAAAAAAAAATGAATGAAATCCTGCCATCTACAAAAACATGAGGGCATTGTGCTGACTGAAATAAGTCAGGCAGTGAAAGACAAATGCTAGAGGATTTCACTTATAAGTGGAATCTAAAAAACAAAATAAACAAACAAGCAAAATAAACTCATAGATATAGAAAATGTACTGATGGTTGCCAGATGGCAGGGGGAATGGGGAGATACGTGAAAGGTGAAAAGATTAAGGACAAATTGGTATTACAGAATAGTCACGGAGATGTAAAATACAGCAGAGAACATATTCAATAATATTGTAACAACTATGTATGGTGTCAGATGGATACTGCTAGATTTACCAAGGTGACCACTTCATATAAATATCTAATCATTGGGGTGGACACCTGAAACTAATATGATATTGTATGTCAATTGTAATTGAAAATAAAAAATTATTAAAAAAACAAAACAGACACACTGTTACATACTCTAGTGAGTAGGGGAAAGAAAGAGTAAACTTTCAGATTTCCTCCAAACTTCCCATCTTTGAACCAAACATAAAAGTATTATAGTCAAGAGTAATTTTAAATGCATTTTTATTTTTTTATGGCAGTGGTGGGGCAGCAAATTGCTGGATGAAGAACTGGAAAGCTGGCTCTGGTATAATGGGGAGGACCTGCCTCGCACCCAAACATGAGGGTGGATAATGTATCCTGCATGATGTCCATGTGTCCTGGGACTCCCCCATCTTTTCTCACATTAACCTTTACTTGATAGTTACCCTCTGACAGATTTTATTTTTACTGTACAATACTTTCTTTACAGCAAAGGTAGAACAGGAAGGGAAAGTGGACGAGAAACCAGTCTCAATTAGCTTTTCCAACATTTAAAGGACTAAAAATAAAATAATTTCGGGAATACAAGCTCTGTGAGGGCATACACTTGGGTCCCCTGCTGCATTTCCAGTGCCTCAAGAGGACTGATGCACCACAGGCACCGAATAAATATCTACCGAGAAAATAAACTCTATGCCAGGTGCTGCTAGACAAACATGCAATATTAAACTTGTGTTCTAAACACATCCTGCTTATAATAAAGTAAGCGCTCTCAAGTTGCTATCACTCTTTTCATAACCAGGTATATTGAACTTTTCTCACATTTTTATGACAGCTCAGATTTGTAAGTCAAACAGTTCAAAACTTTTCCCCAGAGTGTACTCAATGGTACAGAGTGCCAGTAATTAAAATCATTTCCTAATGACCTCTCACATCAAATTCTGAGGGCCAGATCAACTCCTTTTCCCACACACCAGACATACTTTGGAGCGCCTGTCCACCCACAGCCTCAGTCTTTGGGTATCACACACTCATTATCTATGTTTTTTCCTCCTTTGCTCTATTGCCCTCTTTCTTTTCCCAATCTAAAGCTTTAAGCAGGCCAAAGCAAGGAAAGCATGTATTAAAAACAAACACTTTTAGTGTTGATTTTGTATAAAGTAAATTTAACAGCTTAATTACCATAACCCTTTAAAGGGGGGAGGAGGGACTAAACTATAATCTTTACATAAACTCTGGCAATTAATTTGGTTAGCTGTGGTTGTCTACTGGCATCCTTAGAAAAGTGGTTTTCAACCAGGGAAATTCTGCTCACCAGGGGACCTCTGGCAATGTCTGGAGACATTTTTGGTTGCCACAACTGGGTGTGTATGTGTGTGTGCATGCGTGTGCACACTACTGGCATCTAGGGGGTAGAGGAAAGAGACTAGGGATGCTGCTAAACATCCTACAATGTGCAGGACAGTCCCTGCCACAAAGAACAATCTGGATCAATACATCAAATAGTGCCAGGGCTGAGAAACCCTGGCTTCACGTGATATAAAACTAAAACTTATATCATAGACCCCCATTTGGTTGGTCAAGTACCTGACAGGATGGCTTTTAATATACAACCAGATTTCTGATTTTTGTTAAGTGAAAGCATGTGCTTCTTTAAAAACCTGAGGAAGGAAAATTCAAATGAACAGAGCAATTATAAGGTGACTATTTTACTTTTCAAACCAACTTCCTAAAGGATTCTTTTAAAAATCTATTTATAAGTTTGGAACAAAACCTGCCCATTAAAAAGTCAAGTTACTCAATTTGTAAGTAACATTTTTTTCCAATAGAAAAGATACATTTATAGATGCGAGAAAATAATTTTTCATAATGGTATCATATGAATAAAATCCTGACGTTCCTGTAAAAGACCCGAGCTGAAATTCTAACACAGTGTGGCACTGTTAGGGACTTATACTGCTACATTAAATTATCTACTCAATTCTATCATAAAACTAGACTGCAATGCCTGCAATTTCTTTAAATAGCTATGGCAGTATTTCAAGACTTGTTATTTTCCATATAATAAGGAGAAATGGTACCAGGTGGGGAAAAACCTAAACCCAATTATTAGCATAAAGAATTCGATTGGAAAAATTTTAAATTTGAAGTAATTATATTTAATACCTCAACCTCAGGATTAAATCCTCTGAATGACATTCTTCCATACAGAAGATCTTCACATAACAAGAAACTCTGCTCTTCTATTATGAAACTCCTAAATGGGAAAATAAACCTGTATTAATAGTATGTCTACTTATAACAACAAAGCACAGCAAATGTAAGTCAAGATTTCAAAAAAAAAATCAAAAAATCAATCTTATAGTTATCATTAGAATCACGTAAAACTGCAGTAAGATTTCTAACCTAGGGTTAGAAATTAAACTGATTAGCCCTAGCGGGTGTGGCTTCGTGGTTAGAGTGTTGGCTCACGCACTGAAGGGCATGTACCTCGGTTGCAGGTTCACTCCTCCGCCCCTGGTTGGGGTGCCTGCGTGAGGCAACCAGTCAATGTTTCTCTCTCTCTCCCTCCTTCCTACTCTCTCTGAAAAGCAATGGAAGAAATATACTCAGGTGAGGATTAACAAAAAAAAAAAACCTACTAAAAAAATCCCCCAAAAAGGATTAATATGTGTGGCGAACATATTAGATAAGAACTGTGGGCTGGAGGCACAGCCTCTTCTACATACTACATTTAATTTACATAAATGCACAATGTAGAGACCTAAAGTATTTATAAATGTGAATTTTCCATACATGATGCAAAATTTCCTTGATGTTTACACCCCACACCAAGTTCTTTATTAGTAAATACCCAGAAATTAAGAGTCCTGGGCAGCTTTAAAAGAGTTTATTAGTCGGAACTCTTAGCTATGAACGATGACTTACTCTGGATGACTTAAGCAGAGAAGGAATTTATTGTAAAAATACTGGGTATATCACAGAATCACTGGGAAAGCTAGATGAAAAGTAGAAAATGGGCAGAAATGAGGGTGGACAGGTGATTGACCCTAGCCGACTCTGCTCAGTGGTTAGAGCATTGGCCCGAGGATTGAAGGGTCCTAGGTTCGATTCTGGCCAAGGGCATGTACCTGGGTTGCAGGCTTGATCCCCAGACCGTCAGGGCTCGGGCGGGAGACATCAATGTCTCTCTCCCCCTAAATGTCCTCAGGTGAGGATTAAAAAACAAAAAATATATGCCGAACGGGAGTGGGTGAGGGGTGGAAGGGATCAATGGGGAAAAAAGGGGACATCTGTAATATTTTGAACAATAAAAAAAGAAAAATATATATGCTGACCTTATGATCCAGCAATTCCACCTTTAACCAAGAGACATAAAAACAGAATTCTATCCAATTCATCCAAATTTTTTTTATCTAAAGAATTTGTCCTTGGTTGCTTTATGAGGTATGGTCTGGGTAGGCCTCTTGGATGGGGTGATATTTGAGCAAAGTCCAGAAGACAGTGAAGAACAAGAAATGAGGATACCTGGGGAAAATACCTGAGGGACTAGTTAAAAGTAAAGGCCCTGAGAGGAGAATGTAAGTGGCATGCCTGAGAAACAGTTAGGAAACCTCTATCACTTGAAAGGAGAGAAAGTAAAAATGGTAGGAGGTCAAAATTATTTCCCCGATAACACCAAGATGCTATTTGTCTTTTTCACAATTTGACATTTGCACAGTGTGTGCAAAAGCAATTATGGGTAAAACCACATCTTATTATGAATTAAAGTAGTGACACCAGTCATTACATTGTTCACTGAACGCCAGCTTTCAGTTAAAAAAAAACCCCACCAATAATTATGTCCTAGATGAAGCACTAAAAATGTATTAATTGCCCTTGATCTCAGCCCTTGATTACACTTTAAAAAATACTCTCTACACAAAATGGGAAGCATACATAAGGTGCTTCTGGCTAGTGAAGTATGACTGTCTTGAGAAAATGCATGTGTGATTGAGCTGTGAGTTGACTGAGCTATTTTTTTCGTGGTACACTGTAACTGTAGTTATTCAGACTTGGGTACTTAGTAGATGTTTTCTTGAAAATAAAGTAAATTTGTCACTTCAAGGGAGATGACTGACAATACTTAATTGCAATTCAAGCTTTAAGCAAAAATTAGAATTTTGAATAGCTTGTATATGTCATTTTGGGCTTGACAGCTTCCCAATACTTAAAGACATTTCTGATGAAACCCATGGTGATATTAATGAATGTAATTTTTGATACTGTACTATGAAATGAGTTATTTGGAAAATCTATATAACTCATTAAACTAATGTATTCCAAATGAGAAATGCATGATGTTATGAAATTAAGCACTGACAAAAGATCTATTCAAAATGTAAGCTAGACCAATGATTATGAAAGGTTCTAACATGTTTTCAGATTCCACACTGGGGTTAACTTTTAAAAAACTACTACTTATTGAGTTTTAGAGTAATATCAAAGAGTTATCTGAAAAGCTATTACAACACCTCTACCTTTTCAACTACATCATATGTGTGAGGGTGGACTTTCTTTATATACTTCAACCAAGACAACATATTACAGGCTGAATGCAGGACTTAAAAGAATCCAGCGGGTGATACTGAAATCAAGATGGAAATCATCCTGCCCTTCAATGAAAGTAACAAAATATCTGGGATACTTTGTGCAAGTTTAGTTAAAGCATAAAATTAAATTACAGCTCCTTACCAGTACCCCCTGCTTCCAAATCCATACCATCTCTGACATTACCTTCCCTTTCCTCACTAACATCTTCCTTCCTCTGGGAAGCAGTAAAGGAAAGCAAGTACACAGAGAAGTAAGCAGAGAAAGCAAAGTACCTTCCTCCCATCCCTCCTGGTGTGACATACTTTCTATCTTTAGAGAAGGGTATCTGACCTTCCAAAAAAGATCCAGAGAAGATCAGTCAAATGAACAATGAAGTACAACATGTTAAAAACAAAAAATAAATTATAAGGTATAGAAAGGAAAAGCATAAATGTACCTGAAGATAATAAGCAGTATCTTCAGTCCTTTGATAAAGTTTAAGTAAAACCTCCTTAGCACAGAGCTTACTAAGGTAAGAAAAGCATCAAGGAGGAATGATAAGTAGCTTCCAGAAGAATTTATATAAACTAATGAATAATGTGAATCCATCACTCCTTCATTCAAAATTATTTATCAAGCACCAGACAACCTTACAGTGGAAGAGAAATGGTCTAGTGTGTTATCTCAGCTTTAGCAATGACTAGTTGGGTGACTCTGAGCAAGTTATTTTCTGTTAAGCTTCAGTTTCCTCAACTATAAAATGGATAAAATACAGTAGCCAGCTCTCAAGTTTGCTATGAGGATTAAATAACCGAAAGATATAAGTGCTTAGCCAAGTTCCTAGCACACGCTCCAGACTCAATAAATGTTAACTAAGATGACTGGTAGTAATAATAAAATTTTTAAAAACAGAAAAGAAACAAACAAAAATTTCTTGATCTGCTTTTAAGAATCTCAGTCTAATGAAGAATTCTGTTAAACTAAAATAAAACTGGAGAGCCCTGAAATACACACCTAATCTCTGGAACTTAATATGTAGCAAGTACATTACAGAGTCTCATAAAAGGTCCCCAGTTACTATCAGAGGTATGGGCTAGATTCCTTTATGCAATGCAAAGAAAGAACAATGCTATATATATGACAGCCGAGGGCCAGGAAAAATGCATAAATTCAAGTAGACCTCTTACAGGTTTAATAATTTTAGAAAACTACTTGTAAGGCTAATTCAAGAAACTGAATAGATGATGAGTTACATTTACAAGGATTTTGCTTTGAATGCCCGAAATGTCATTAATATAATTTCTAACAAAACTTACTCTTTCTCTTTAAGTTCTGGCAAATCCAAATACCAGTGCTCTTCACTAATGATTTTCTTTTCTTCCTCTTCTAGTTGTTTCTTGGTTTCTGAATCCAGTCCCCTTTGCATGAACTATCAAAACAAAACAAAATCAGTGTCAGCAACTAATTTCCCCAACTCAGAGCTAAAAAAATAACCAACCTCAAACAACTTTATTGTTTCACTTGCCCTTGCCCATTTCTCCAGGAATCTCATCTCATGATTGAGGACTCTATAAATGTAGACGGAAGCAAAGCTATATCAGTAAGCCTGTTGGTCACTTGTATCTATTCTCTGAAAAGCTCATCAACTCTACAGCTGCTCTTTATTCTAAAATTTGCAGAAGCTCAACTCAAAATAGGCTAGACAAAATAGCAGTCCTGCTGCTAGTCTCTCCCCAGCACAAACAATAGCTCTATTTCCAGGGGACAGGCAAATAAACCAAGAAGTTAATCACAGAAAAATGATAAAGTATCAATACAGGAAAAAAATAAATTCAGAAACCACCCAGCAGTGGTTCTACGATTCCACTGGTTTCCATTTACCCCTATTTCTTTCCCTTATCCAGGCTCCATACTGCTTTTCCCTCCACACCAGCTCTTCCAAAAATACAAGCATTTTTAGGCATAAGGGCTTTACCAATGACTACTAAATGAAGTGACTTAAAAAATGTCACAAATAAAATATAGGGATAACAGCAAGTTCTCATGAGGATGCGAGGAAACTGGATCTCCTCTGTGGAAAACAGCTAGACAGATATTACCCAGCAACTGTCCTCTTGGGCATTTATCCCAGAGAAATGAAAACTTACGTTTACTCAAAAACTTACATATGAATAATCACAGCAGCTCTATTTGTAATAGCGAAAACCTGTAAACAATCAAAATACTGAACAGGTGAATGGTTAAAATAAACTGTAGTACATCCACAGCATGGAATACTACTTAGCAATAAAAAGGAAGGAACTATTCATATATTTAACTTAAACGGATCTTGAGTGAATTATGCTGAGTGAAAAAAAAAGCCAATCTCAAAGGCTATATATTGTATGATTCCACTTACCTAACATCCTTTAAATAACAAAATTATAAGAATAACAGATTAGTGGTTGCGAAGGAGTGGTGAGTGATGACACAGGGAGTGGGTGTCGTACAAAGGTGTAGCTAGAGGGATCCTGTGGTGACAGAGCAGCTTTGTATCTTGAATGTGATGGTTGTTAAAACACACACACTCACACACACAGAGAGTGCAAGTAAAATGGTGAAGCCTGGGCAAGCTCTGTGGGTTGCTCCATCAGTCTCCTGGCTTTGCACTCCTTGTTTGTCTGCCCTCATCCTTTCACCTGTACCTATATCCTCACCACCGGAGAGAACTGGCAGTTTCTGGAAAGCACACCCTGTACTTCCCAGTCCTTCTGTTCTGCTATTCAACATTATGCTTCTATTTTATGCCTGACAAAATAGTCACTTGTGAAGGCCCAGAGCATGTCTCCTTTGATAAACTTCCTTGCTTCTGTACCAGCTTTATAAACACCAGCTTATTGTTCATTACGCTTCTTCTATGTCTCCCAAAAGACTAAGATTGTGAATGTAGACGATGTCCCTTGATCATCCTGTATTACTGGTACCTGGGCTGCAACTGGTACATGGAAAAGAGTTCAATAAAGGTTCTCTGAATATAACTGGTTCTAGACTTGTCTTATTTTTCCAGATTTCCTTTCTTGTACATCTTATTCCATTACTCATATTCTTTGTGGTAATCACCAATCCTGTCCATATGCTCTTTTATCTCTTTTAAAGTAGATATTCTTTATGGTATGGGATATGGCCATATTAATTGTACCAAAATATATACATGCATACGCATACACATATACATATTTCTTTACTTATGGAAAGGATAGGAAACCCTGTGACTATGAATGAAGCAACTCCAGACTTAGGTAGCAGTTCAATTCTTCTGTTTCCACAACATCTAAAAACATACTCTAAAGCCAGTGATTTAGTTTTACTCACAACTGAGGGCCTGGCGCAGGTATCACAAAATTTAGTCCTTAGGTTAGACTTCTGTTCTTGTAAATAGTTTTACTGGAACAAAGCCACACTCATTTAGTTCTGAACTACAATGGCCAAGCTGAGTAGACAGACTGGCCACAAATAAGTATTTACCTATCACTTTACAGAAAAAGTTCACCAACTCCTGTCCTAGAGTCCAAAAGAGCTAAAATCACAAATCAGCACCCTCTCTACAACAATTCTATCACCCTGACAGACCTTCCACCTACATTCTTCACTGTCTACTTCCCATCAGGATCAATCTCCAGCCCCCAATAGCTGAGCCCAGTCAGGGGGCTTCAAGTACACTGGCAAACAAGTGAGTTGATATTAAATCCTCAACACTGTCATTCTTGCTCTACACTTAGCTCTGGATGAACAGCTACAATGAGTACAGTAACCTCAGGCAGCTGCTCCCTTCCTTCTCATAAGACACTCACCTCTACCTGTACATACAGCGTCTCCTGCTCTCTTGCCAATGAGTTCCTTCTTATCAATGATGGAAGTTGTTAACCCAAATAGAGAACCTTTCCTTTGCTTCAATGTCTAATTGAATCTCTCTCAATTATTTGGGTAAGGAGTAAACAATTTCTTAAAGTCAGTTTCTTCATTCCTAACTTCCTAGCCGAATCTCTGGTCTGGGCCCTAATCACCCAGCACGCATTCACTTAACTTACTCCAAGAGTTAAACACTTCTAAAATCTTTTCAGTGCTGTTTTGTCAATCCACTCCACTTCTTTGAAATCTAAATGATCACAAACCATAAGCCAAGAGAAAACTCTGTTCAGTCAAGATTCAAATTTTGCTAATATGCGTGAAAGAAGTCCTTTAGACAGTATACATTATGCTATGACGTACCCTCCACTTTCGCTCGCCTTATTCATCCCTGGTTACAGCCTAGCTCAACCCAATTCTCATTTTGCACACGCAGTATTTACTCTTCAACCTTTCAGAACATTATTTACCCCTTGCTTCCTCTTCCTGAAAACCGCACAACCTAACGGTTTACATCTATAAGTGTTCAGCAACCAACAGTAATTACCAACAGTAATTAAGAGCAAAGGCGCTCTGGAGCCAGACTGCTTTTTTAGCAGTAAGGAACTTTGGGCAAGTTACTTCTGTTTCAGCTGCCTCCACTGCTAGAGAGGGATAATAACTGTACCCACCTCAAGGGGTTACCTGCCATTCTTGGGGTGATACAGGCAAAGCACTCAGAACAGTGTCTGGCACATAGCCTAGAGCTATACGTGTTTGCTATTATTAAGTTTTAAAGATTGGTTGCTTCCCCTGTTTTAATTCCTGTATTCATTTTAGCTAGCCTTGTTTCCCCCCCCATTTTGATACTACTTGATTAAATTTGAATTATAAAAACCAATTTTGCTTGACATAACTCACTTTAACCTCAACTGTTACAATTCCACCGCGCCACCCCTGCAGCCCTCACCCAGCTCCTCAGAACTTCCGCGTGGTCTTTCTGACCGCAATCCTGTCTGTCTTTCACCAAGTCTCCCCCACAGCACGGAGTAAGGCACAGCTAATGATACCGTTCCCCGAGCTCAACAGCTTCCCAACGCTCACCAGATAAAGAAAAACATCCTTGTTTTGGCTTGAAATTCCCAGCTCTGACCCGCCCACTGTTTCAGGCCCATTTCTTGCTACTCGCCTTCCAGACATACTGAATTATCTTTAGTTCTTCAAACTTAGCATAGACCTCGCTTGGCTTTTGCCTCTCAGACTTCTGAACCCTCTCATCCCCCAGTTCTCCCAACCACCCTTCAGTCTCTACTTAAGCACCGCTCCGCATAAGCCCAAATGAATTCTCGGGGCTCCCAGCGCTTCCAGCCTCACCGCACATAGTATCCTAACTGCTTGTTTACGTCTCTGCCTCTCCTATTCGATCGACCTCCGGCTTTACGAGAGAATCTGCCGGATTTCTAATCCAGTTCCCAGTGCCTGACGCAGAGCAGGCGCTACGTGAATGAATGAACGAACGCGAGAGCTGGAGGCCCTCTGGCCGCCCCCTCCCCGCACACCCGTTGCCCCGGCCTCGGCAAGGCCAGCAGGACCCGGTGGCCCTGGCCTCCCACCCTGGCTCCACCGCACCCCGCACCTTCATGCGCAGCAAATTCTTGGACAACTTGGTCTTCCGCTCGGCCGCCATGATGCTTCCGGCCCGGTCCCGCACTCCGCCGCGAGCCCCCACCGCGCACGCGCGCCGCTACGTACAAAGCGTCGGCGTCTTACGTAGCGTGCGTCGCCCCGCCCCGTGGCCGCGCCCCTGTTTCTCGCGTTTGAACACCCGCGGCTCTTCGCGCGCTGGCTTCAGGGCGCGGTTACCATGTTTGGAAGCTCGGGGTGAGGGCGCCACCGCCCTCGCAGGGATGAAAGACTCTTAATTGAGGCCGAAGCCGGAGGAGGCCGAAGCTCTGGTCGCTGCGAGCTGTGGTCCCGTCGCGGGCT